AAATCCCCCCAGATGGGGGATAGGGTGGGCATGAAATATATATAGTACCCTCGGTAAGATCATCATCTTTAGTATATTGACTCGACCCATTAAGGAGAAATGGAGTAGGTCCCATTTTTTGAGATCTCGTCTGATATTTTCTATGAGGGGAGGGTAGTTCAGTTTGTATAGGCCTTTAAGTGTCGTGGTTAGGTATATCCCTAACTATGTTAGTCCAGACCTTGTCCATGGGAATTTTTGAGCTTATTGGATATGTGATTGCAGGTTCGGAGGTACTGAAATCCCTAGGATTTCGCATTTGTCTGCGTTAATTGTCTGTACCTGTGGGAGTGTTCTAAGTGGGTCTCTGATGGTAAAGAGGACGTCATCCGCAAATGCAGAGACTTTCACTTCTCCCACAGAGTACTGGTATCCCCGTATGTTATTATTGTTCAGAATAGCCGTCAGGAAGGGTTCTACGGCCAGGGTGAGAGGGGACATATATACAATTAACTGAAATTTCATATGTCTCTCCAGCAGGGCCTGGGTGATGGGCCTTAGTGCACATCTAGCCAGTAAAGTAGTGGGCAAGAGGTCTTGATAGACGGCCACCGGGTGACCATCAAATGTCAGTTCTCTGTTTTGACGTGCTTTACAGGATATTTCCTCTTTCAGAGGGAAATTATGAATGCGGCATATAAGGTTTGTCTGGTGGTAAATTTCTAGGCCTTGTCGCCCTATGCGCTCTGTCAAATTGGATGAAAGTGTCAGGGGGTCTGGCGAGGATGAGATTAAAAAGAGTAGTCAAAACCTGTATGGGGTTCTCTGTGGAGCCGTCTGGTCACTTCGGGACACCTCTCACTTGTAAATTATTCCGCTGCACGCAATTGTCAACATCTTCCAATCTCCTTTGCAGGTACAATATGGTGTCTGAGTGCAGTCTCTTTGTGGTATGGCACTTAGACCATTGCTGTTCAGTGGGCTCATTCTCCTCTTCTAAGGCCTGCACCTTGGCGCCTAGGTGTTGGACGTCGGCGCTCACTGCCTGTAGCTTCTCACTAAAGCTGTCTTCCAGCCTCTGTAACATTGGGACTTAAAACAGTCAGAACAGGCAATGTTATTTTTACAAAATTTGTGGCGAAAGTAACCTTGCGACTGATGTATGCATTTATACCTCTTGCCCCAGGACTATGGCCCATGTATTAGACATTGGTTCAGGACTGTGGAAAGGCTTTGTTCGGGCCTTTTCCCTTATATGGTTCGGTCTATGGGGCTTACCGAACAGATCAGGAGTATTCTGTTCATATACCAAACCAACTACTGAGCAGTAAGACCTCCCAGGGGAGTTGTGTGCTGCTTATTGACTCTTCTGACCCCTATCAACACCTTAACTGCAACGTTCTAAGCGGTCGGCTGGATGAACGAACACGAATAGCATGAATACTATTAACGTTTAAATTTAAATTGCTCACACACATTATAATTAGAAGAATTTTATTTTAACCATTGACTTTGGAAAAGCTAATTGGCGATTAGTTGTTGCAATTAATGTTTTTTCTCACTATTTCTTACTGTAACTCTGTAATAAAATCAGACTATATTTTAAGTTTAAAGTATTTAGTTTGAATATCATACAGTATGTTCCAAAATGTGATAACACACCTAGCCAAGAATGGTTTAAATTAATTTGGCAACTGTCTTAATTGTGTACAAAGCAGTAAACATTTAACATAATCCCTACTGGTCCTTTTGGAGCTGTCATTGTAAACACCTGTCAGCATGAAAATATTTTACATCTTCCATTTAGAAAATACAACATATTGGAAGCTTTTCACAGCTTTGGAAAATGTAATTTGATTGCAAGTGCATAAAACAGTCAAACACACCATTTTTATTTTTTTTTGTCGACTACTTTTATAGATAGTTTTAACATAACACCTTCATAAAAAAATGTTTTTTTTTTTAAAAAAAAATAGGCAAATCCAATCACAGCAGTATTAAAGGGATGCTTCATGCACCAGTACAAACTGATGTTTTGGCCTCATTAATATGCTTTTTCGTCATGAGCATATCTTTACAGCCTTTGCACAAATAAACAAATGTTTTGCACAATGCCTGCCTCCTTATCTGTGTCCCACACATACCACAAAGGCTTCCACATCAATGGTATGCAATATTTCATCCCCTAAACTTTAATTAACCAACTGGCTGCAGATTGTAAAAGAAGCTGGGTAGTGATGTCGTTCCTATTTTTCTATGTGTGTGCTCCTCTTGCTTTGCAGTACAAATCACTCATTGCTAATAGTGATGTCGCGAACCCGAAATTTTCGGTTCGCGAACGGCGAACGCGAACTTCCGCAAATGTTCGCGAACCGGGCGAACCGCCATAGACTTCAATGGGCAGGCGAATTTTAAAACACACAGGGACTCTTTCTGGCCACAATAGTGATGGAAAAGTTGTTTCAAGGGGACTAACACCTGGACTGTGGCATGCCGGAGGGGGATCCATGGCAAAACTCCCATGGAAAATTACACAGTTGATACAGAGTCTGGTTTTAATCCATAAAGGGCAGAAATCACCTAACATTCCTAAATCACAATGAATATGGATTGACACCTGACATATGACATATTGACACCTTGACATATGGATTGACACCTGTCCTCAGAGCCCCTGATGCACACGGACACAGAGCAGAATAGAGACTGGTCCCCCTACATAGGGTCACTTGGCAGATATGGATTGACACCTGTCCTAAGGATCCCTGATACACACTGACACAGAGCAGAATAGGGACTGTTCCCCCCCATAGGGTCACTTGGCAGATATGGATTGACACCTTGTTTACAAACTGCTATTTGTAACGGGCCCTTTAAATGGCAAATTGCCCTGCTTCCTGGGTTGTGGAGAAGCCTATTTGCCAGCCTCCTCCCGCATGACTATGGCCCCTGGAGATTGTGAAAATGTATGCACTTTTATTTGGTGTGTATGGCCCTTTAAGACTGTCGGTGGGCATATTGGGGCTTATGGACTCTTTATGTGACTGGTGCTGGCCCTTTAAACACCTTTTTTGGGACATCAGGAAGATTGTGACACTGCCCCTTTAAGGCCGTGTCCCCAGACTTGTTGGGGACACGGCCCCTTTAAGACGGTGTCCCCTGTGTCCCCAGACCTGGTGCAAACCCTTTGTGCCTGCCTTGCTATTTCCCACTTGGTTCAGTAAATGGGAAATTATTTCAGCTGCAGAGACTAAGTCCCATTCGGCGATGGGACTTAGTCTTTTTTTCAGCCGTTTTTCAGCCTTATTTCAGCTGCAGAGACTAAGTCCCATTCGTGATGGGACTTAGTCTTTTTTTCAACCGTTTTTTTCAGCCTTATTTCAGCTGCAGAGACTAAGTCCCATTCGCGATGGGACTTAGTCGTTTTTTCAGCCTGAAATAGACCGACCTCACAGCCCAAATCTATGGAACTGTTTTGGGCAGGAAAATGTGCTTGCGGTCGGTCATAAAGGGACCTCAGCTAACTTTTTAACCCCTGGATGGATTTGGCTGATTTTTGGTTATGTTTATGTTTTAAGTGTGCTGATTCCAAATATGTAATTATGAAGATGGGATGTGTAGTTTTAAAGTTACAGGGTATGGCTAAAAACTGTATTTTTACTGCCTGTGTTTAATTATGTTAATCTCTTCCCAAACGTCATTTCGTTCAAAGTGGAGAGAATGTTAAAAAAATATATTTTTGTTCTGAGTGTGAGAAATGCTTTTCAGCCGCTTCTAATCTTAAGCATCATTTGAGGAGCCATACAGGAGAGAAACCTTATTTGTGGTGTGTTTAGTATTGTTCTGATCAGTTTAATACCTTCCGCGTCTCCTATCAGTGGACGTGTATATGGCAGCCATTTTAGGAACCGTACACCTGGGACCCGAGCAAGGTCACCTCGTTCAACAGGCTTGCAGCGTATCCTCCAGGAAGAAGAGCCTGAACCCTTACCGGCTGCACGTGTCTTACCTGTACATGGAAAGCTGCTGTGGTTCCTTGATGAGCCAGCTGCCCGTGAGTTAACATGTCCCGTGGAGAAGCACTCTGTCCTGTAAAGCCTCACAAAAAGGAGGTGGGTGTGTTGGTATTGTTCTGATCAGTTTAATACCTTCTGCGTCTCCTATCAGTGGACGTGTACGCGGCATTGATTTTTATCTAAGCCGTAAACTTTTGCATAGCGAAGTAGATTCACTGCCATTGAAAAGGGGTGCATGGCGGTGGTGTGGGCCCTCAAAAAGCTGCAACCTACTTGTATGGACAACCGTTTACCTTACTCACAGATCACAACAAATTTGGGGCACTGCGCGTGCAATCTAATGTGCCACCAGATAGGAGTGGTGTGTTTAGTACTATTGTTATCAGTTTAATCACTGTTACGTCCCTATCCGTTGATGTGGAGCAAGACGCAGCAGCAGAAGAGGACTAAGCCGAGGAGGTTATGGAAGAGGATGGAGTAGGAGGAGTAGAGGAGGTGGCAGCGTACTGGCAGAGTACACGCTGTAGGGCTGACACACCTGCTTGAAGATAACTAACTGCTGTTCAATCTATAACAGTGAAAAAAAATTTTTGTTTTTAAATCCAAGTTATTGTGACACCAGTGAGTGAGTGGTGTGTTTAGTACTATTGTTATCAGTTTAATCACTGTTACGCCCCCTATTCGTTGATGTGGAGCAAGACGCAGCAGCA